CCCCCTTGGAATTGATTTTTCAATACAGACCCCCCCCCTGAAAAGTAGAGCCTACCTGTACAGGGTTCCACTCCAACAGCTGATATAGTGTGTCCATGCTTGACTGCTTCAAGGCTCAAGAGAGGGTCAATGGACCTAAAGAGCAAGAGGACAAGACTCTGCGCATAAAAGACACTAGCGGTCTGCACCTCTACCGTGTACGCCCTAGTCACTCTTTCAGTGGTAGCGGAGCTGTGATCCTGGAAGACCCAGGTGAGCTCCTTTCCTAGGCATAGAATTGCTTGTGGGCAAACGGCCATGGATTGGATTGACGACTGGGAAGAGCCTGATGCGGATGTGGCTTATGAGCCAGCAGCCTATGTGAATAGGCATGTGAGAAGAGAACCAGCAGCAATAGCAATGACAACACAGGTCACTACAAAGGTGCCCCCATCTTATGATGGAAAGACTTCATGGTTTTCCTATGAGGATGCCATAGACGATTGGTGTGATATCACCGAGCTGGAAGAAGAGAAGAGAGGACCAGCCTTGAGAAACAGATTAGAAGGAGAAGCAGCAGTATACAAACGTGTATTTGACAGAGATTCATTGAAGGCTAATGAGCCACCAGGAGCAGGAGTAGATTACTTCAAACGAGTACTACGACCATATTTCGTGAAAGGATCAACCAATGTATTCCTATACAGGTTTATGCAATTCGTGCGATTCAATCGAGGATCAGCCGACATGATGAAATGGATGACAAGATTCCAGATTTTACTCCAAAGGCTTATGAGCAGTTGGATGGACATGTTAGAACCAGTCACTCAAGCACATCCCCAAGTCCTTGCTCAGATGCAGGCAGATGCAGCGTTGACTGGAGTAGCACCAACGGCAGAAAGGATTCAGGAAATCATGCAGAATGTCAATGGCAATATGAGAATTCTTCATCAGAACGAATTTCCTCTAGGAGAAAATCTGATTGCTTTACTCATGCTGTCACTTGCAGATTTGTCTCAGGACCAGCGAAACACTTTGACTTCTTTGATGACTCATCGTGGCAGGTACCTGCAGCAATACACTACAACAGAGCTGAGGACAGTTTTCATCGAGATGTTCTGCACGACAAAGACTTCAGTAGACAATCCATTGATGCAGCCGACAGGTGCTGGAGGCAGAAGATCATTTCTCGTACTAGACGAAGGAGAACTCGATGGTACATTTGGCTATTGGGCCGAAGATGAAGAAGATGGAACTGAAGGATTTTTAGATGCCCTGGACGATGTCTTTTGGGTATATGATGATCAAAACTTCTCATGGTTCCAAAGGAGATTCCAAGGAAGAAGAGCCAGAAAAGGCAAAGGAAAAGGTAGAAGGAAAGGAAAAGGAAAGGAAGATCAGGCCGTAGATTCTTCAGACCTCGTGGAAAAGGAAAAGGAAAGAGACGAGGTAAAGGCCATTTTGCTGATGAGCAACAGACAACTTTTCCAGATGAATACCTTGAAGAGAATCCTTATGAGGACACTTGGGAGTCAAACCAAGGAGCATATGATGCCATTCTTGCCGAGGATATGAATGACTATCTTCAAGGAGAATATGATGACGCCAATGACTTTTGGCAACAGCTTGAAGAAGCATGGTTTTCCCACAAGGGAAAAGGAAAAGGCAAGAGAAAAGGCAAGAAAGGAAAAGGAAAAGATAAAGGAGATGGCAAACAAGATGCAACCTATGCAAATCAACAACAGCCACGTTCTTTACCTGCACCTTCAAGAACTTCACAAGCATCAGGAGGTCAACAATGTTTCTATGTACATTGTGTGACAGCAGCAGCTGAAGTCCATGACAGTGAGGTGGACTTGCTGTCAGGCATGATGACCTCATGCCAAGATGAAGCTGACTGCGTGGTCAACAATGGTGAGACGATCTTCGATGACATGAGTGCCCCTGTGAGGTACTCTTTGTCAAAGGAGATGCTCACAAAGGCTCCTGATGGCTTTGCGCTTATGAGCGCTGATGGCTTTGCGCTTATGAGCGCTGAGGAAGAAGTGAAGGAGATGCAGGCTATTTCATTTTTGACTGAGAATCGCTTCCCGCCAACTATTGCAATCCTGGACATTGGATGCACTAGAGCTATGGGATCAAGGCGAGCAGTCGACCATTTTTGTAACTATGTCGACAATCACCCAGATTGTGGATTATGGTACTCTTTTGAGGCTACCAAGAGCAAGTTTTACTTTGCCAATTCCCAGAAGGCTACTTGCTCTCAGAAACTGGTGATTTATATGTATGATCGTGCATGGACGATCCACCATACAGAGTTCGACATAGTGGAAGAAGGAGAAGTCCCTTTGCTTATGAGCTTGCCACAGATGAGGAACTTAGGCTTTGAACTCAGGCTGACACCTCAACATGCTTATCTGACATCGGTGCCTCTTGGTATCAAATTTTTGGAGTTGAAGGTTGCAGCCAGTACTCATCTTGTGTTGGACTTCCAAGATATTGCATGGTATCTGTCTGACGTGCGTTGGCAGACTCAGCGTGAGAAGAGTTTTTACTCTCACCTCACTCACTATGAATATGGCCATATTTCTGTTGAACACAATAGTGATGAAGGTGAAGCTGAGCATGCATATCCTGTGGTTGATTTCTGGGAAGTAGATGTTCACAAGAGAGAACTGATACGTCACCACAAGGATTACAGGAAAATTCTTTTCCCAGCAACTAAGTCCTGTCCTGTAGACACTGACTTGCTGGAAGACTTGCGACTGACAATCATCAAGAAGAAGAAAGGAGGAGAAGAAATCAAGAAGACAGATGATTGGCGCAAGGCAAAATGGAAGGACCTACAACTTGGCTATGAATGGCGTGGTAGAACAATTTTTAAATTTAAGCCAGATGCAAAAATTCCAGATCTAAAGATCAGGAAGGCTGGCATTGAGCACCGTGGCATTGGTGATCCCGATGCAGTGGTGCGCTCCTCCTCAGAGAAGGTTCCCATTGCAAAGGACAGGGAACCAGGCTTCTCGTCAGAGAAGGAAGGTGCACCATCCAGTGCCGCGGAAAAGCCCGTGCCGCCAAAGTTCCGGTATACTTCCAAGGGTTTTGATCCATTTTGGAAAGGACACAAGTCAAAACCATCTGAGCCTCAGAATGATTTAAAGGGTGATGATCTTGAGGAGTATGCTCCCTCAGAACCACCTGAGAGGCCAGAAGGTGAACTTGTAGAAATTCCTAAAGCATCAAAAGGACCATCAAGTGATAAACATGAACCACTTGAACCAGGTGATGGCGCTCTTGAGCCTAGGCGGATTTCAATCCCATTACCTGGTAGTGAAGTTGTTGCAATGACACCGGCATATAGGAAGATGTTACAGAGACTGGAGGACAAGGTAGAGCTTTATAAGCTTCATGTGAAGCACTACCATATGAGTCCTACTCAGTTTCGTAGACGTGTTTCTATGTTGAAGCTTCCTGACTCTGTTTTAGAGAAGTATGAATCAGTTGTCAGGAACTGCCGTGTTTGTAACACTTCAGTGGCACCTCCGCCACGAGCCAGAGTCTCCGGTATTAGAGCTTCATGTTTTGGTGATGTTGTTTTTGCTGATCATTGTGAGGTTGAACTTCACAAGAACAAGTATATCATCTTACTTGTTCTTGATGGTGCCACAAATCTTCTCTGGGCTACGGCACAGAAAGACCTCATAGATCAAACCACCATCCAAGCATTGAGGCAATGGTCTGATGAGAACAACTGTGTTCCAAAGGCCATCGTAGGAGACGAAGCCTTTTTCACAGATGCTTTTGTTGAATACTACAGGTTCCATGGTATACAACAATGTCCTTGTGGGCCAAGAACTCCTTGGCCGAACCGAGCAGAGACAGCTGTACGTTTGTTCAAACGTATGTGGCATGTTATGAAGGTAGATCTGGATGACCCACGTTTTCGTGGTGTTACGGTCAGAGAAGTGGTCAAGAAGGTAGTGTGGGCAAGAAATTGTCAGTTGACTATCAGTGGATATTCACCAATAGAGATAGCAACTGGAAGACGTCCACCAGATCTTTTTGACCTTGAGACCGCAAGCCCTGAGCAATTGTCAGCTAATGCCGCCGCACAAGATCGTACAAATTTGGAACTACAACGTGTGGCTTTGAGAGCTCATCAAGAAGCACGACAAGCTCAGGACCTTCGAGCAGATCTTGCGAGAAGGACTATGCCAAGTGACGGTCCTTATTTCCAAGGAGAGAAGGTTTTTATTTGGACTCAGGATTCATCAAAGTTCAAGGATAAAGGACGTTGGGTTCGTGCCACAGTACTTGGACAAGAAGGAGCTATGGTCCAAGCCAACACTGGTAAGGCAGTGGTACGTGTGAATCAGTCGAAGGTTAGACGTGATCACGATGAGTGGCATGATGTTTCCATTCCGGCATTAGACGATGAGAATCCGGAGAACTTG